AGGAGAGGAAAAGGGATAATTGTATAAGCAAGAAGAATAACAGATTGAAAAAGTCAAATACAACTCTATCAATAATGTATTAAGGGAAAATAGATTTGATGCTTGAATTACTACTGTATTCAATACTTTGTCAGAGATCCTAGTCAAGGAAATAACTGAAAAAAAAGAGAAAAATGATAACGATTGGTTAAGAAGAAATAAAACTATTATTTATATACAACATGATAACTCAAAAGATAACTAGGTAAACCATCAGAATCAATAAGTGAGTTTAAAAAGGTTGTTAGACCAATGTAAAAAGGAAGTGTATTTTTATATACAGATACCATGCAGAAAATGAAATATGATTATTTACAATAGCATCAAAGAACATCAAATTCTAGGGAATAAACTTAAGAAAATGTAAGATATTTAAGCTAGAAACTATAAACATTCAAAGAAATTTTCATGTTCATGGATTAGAAGAATCAATATCATAAACATGTCAATTCTGCCTAGATTGTTATCCAATGTAAATTTCAATCAAAATCTCAGAAGTTTTTTTTTTTTTTTTTTAAATGAAAAAACAATTCCAGAAATAAATATGGAAAAGTAAAAGGCTCAGAAGAACCAGGATAGTCTTAAGAACAAAGTGAATAGATGTCCTCTACCAGATACTAAAACTTTTGAAACTACAGTCTTTAAAATAGTACAGTCTTGCTGCAGAGTTAGAAGGACCATGGAGACAAACCAGGTACTCCAGAAACAGACACATATATGGATGTCTGATTTGTCACAGAAGTGGCGCTGCAGAGCAGAGAGAATAGGACTTTCTTCAATAAATGATACTGGGTCAATTGAATACTCATATGGAGAGGAAAATGTAACTTTATTGCCGAATCACCCTGCGTTTAAAAATCAGTTAGAAGTAGATGTAAATGTCGTAGGCAAAATAGCAAGCCTTCTAGAAACAGGAGAAAATCTTTATGACTTTGATGGTAAAGAGCGATTTCTGGCCACAAAAAGGACTGACAAAGAAAAAAAGATAAAAACTGGGCTGCAATAAAGTTAAGAAACAATGGAAGATGATTAAGAAAGTGAAAAGCTGCAGAGAGGAAGATGGTACTCCAAACACATATAATTGAACAAAGAACTGGTGTTCAGAATAAATAAGGAATTTCTACAAGTCCATAAGGAAGAGACAGAACATCCATTTGAAAAACAGAGAGACTTGAACAGACCCAACAAAGAAGAGGATATCCAGATGGCCAGTAAATAGGAAAAGCTATCACAAAAAGTACAGAGTAAGACCACAGTAATATAACCATAAAAAACTGTACAATAGCTAAAATTAAAGAGACTGGCAATGCTAAGTGTTGATAAGGAGGTAGGAATACTGCTGGTAGGAATATAAATTGGTACGGCCACTTTGGAAGACTGGTTGGTAGTGAGTACTAAAGCTGAACATATGGAAATTTTGTGACCCAGAAGTTTCACTCCTAATTACTCAACAAAAATGCATGGACATTGGCACCAAAAGACATACAAGAAGGTTCTTCACAGCATTATTAGTAATAGCCAAAAGCCAGAAACAACGCAAATGTCCATCAAGAGTAGAATGAATAAATAAGATATGGCATATTCATACAATGAAATATGCAGAAAAGAAAATGAACAAATTAAGCTAATATGGATGAATATCACGTATATAATATTGAGTAAAATAAGTTAAATGAAAAAGCATACATATTGTATGATCCCATTTATATACAATTCAGAAAATTTTAAAACTATAATACTTAAAAGTTAGGTAATAGTTACTTTTGGGGAAAAGGGAAGGGATGTTAGATTGGAATGGACATTACAGGGATTTCTGGGTGCTTTGTCCACTTTTCATGGATGGTAAGAATGTGTTTACCATGTGATAGTTGACTGAGCTATGTGCATATGATTTCTGTACTTTATGTATGTTATACATCAGTTAAAAAAATCTAAAGGAACTACACTTTATGGGATGTAAATGAAGTTTTCTGTTCACATTGCCTTTTTACGAGAGGACAGGGTTGGATTTTATTTATTTTTGTAATTTCAACTTTTATTTGAGATTCAGTGGGGACAGCACATGTTCAGGCTTGTTATGTGGCTATATTGTGTGATGCTGCGGTTTGGGGTACAAATGATCCCATCACCCAGGTAGTGAGCATAGTACCTGACAGGTAGTTTTTCAGCCCTTGTCCCCTGCCCTGTCTTCCCTGACTCAGTATCCCCAGTGCCTTTTACTCCTATCTTTATGCCCACATGTACCTAATGTTTAGCGCCCTCTTAAAAGTGAGAACGTGCGGTATTTGATTTTCTGTTTCTGTGCAAATTTGCTTAGGATGATGGCCTCTAGCCATCCATGTTGCTGCAAAGACATGATCTCATTTTTTATGGCTGTGTAGTATTCCATGATCTATATGTACCACCTATTCTTTATTCAGTAAGGTTGGATTTTAATTGAATATTTGTTTCCTTGTGCATTTGTCCCCTTTAACCACCAGGCAGTCTAACTCTGGTGATGGGTCCTGGACAGTGGAGAGTTTTGTAGCAAGATTTTGAAAGTGTCATAATTTAGATTGTTCCTGGGGCTAGGAGCACTAGCATGGACCTCTGAAGTCAACATGGAAGAAAATAATTGCAAGAGTTGTAATAGTAGTCAGGAGCTAGCAAGCTGTTTTAAGTTCTTTGAGCACCTTTACCAAGATACTTTAAAACATATTTTCTAAGTATTGTTAAATTAAAATGCACTATTAAATGGTAAATTACATGTTAGAAATATGCCATTTGCTAACATGATACAATGAAAGAGAAGCTTTAGATTCAAATCCTGGCCTTGCTGTTTGCTCAGTATGAAAATTTGGGCAGTTTACTATAATTTTTTATTTTTTTTTATTTTTCTTTCTTTTTTTTTTTTTTTTTGAGACAGAGTCTCACTCTGTCACCAAGGTTGTAGTGCAGTGATGCAGTCTCGGCTCACTGCAACATCTGCCTCCAGGGTTCAAGCAATTCTTCTGCCTCAGCCTCCCAAGTTGCTAGGACTACCTGCATGTACTACCTTGCCCAGGTAATTTTTAAATTTTTTTGGTTGTTTTTTTGAGACGGAGTTTCGCTCTTGTTACCCAGGCTGGAGTGCAATGGCATGATCTCGGCTCACCGCAACCTCCGCCTCCTGGGTTCAGGCAATTCTCCTGCCTCAGCCTCCTGAGTAGCTGGGATTACAGGCACACACCACCATGCCCAGCTAATTTTTTGTATTTTAGGTAGAGACGGGGTTTCGCCATGTTGACCAGGATGATCTTGATCTCTTGACTTCGTGATCCACCCGCCTCGGCCTCCCAAAGTGCTGGGATTACAGGCTTGAGCCACTGCACCCGGCCTAGTTTTTAAATATTTTTTAGTAGAGACAGGGTTTCACCATGTTGGCCAGGCTGGTTTCAAACTCCAGAACTCAGGTGATCTGCCCACCTCAGCTTCCCAAAGTGCTGGGATTACAGGTGTGAGCCACTGTGCCCAGCCCAGTTTACTCTAATTCTTTGTGCCTTAGTCTTTTCATGCCAAATGGGGACAATATTCTTACTCAGTGAGAAGTCAATGAAGATTACTGTGTAAATGGAATAGCACTGTGTTTGGTACAAGGTGCTCTGTAGGTAGAATTTTTCCCATTCTCCTGCTAGTCTACTAAATAATATTAGCAAAGGAAAAATCTTTCTAACTTTGGAGGGAATTACAAAACTGAAAATTTTAGTGTGTTTATTTTAATTTTCTGTTTAAGTTGGGATTTTTAATCTCTGAAAGAAAATAAAGGGGCCTTTTCTGTCAATTAATCTTTGGCCTCTTTTAATACAATAATCCAACCCTGTTCTCTCTCTTAACAGATTTTTATTTTTAAAAAGATTTACTCATTGAAAAATATACAAATTTATAAGAAAAATTGAAAACTACCTATAACTGTACCACGCTGATGTCAATATTAGTAAGGTTTGGCATACAGTAGTCCCCGCTTATCTGTGGTTGGTTTCAGTTACCCACAGCCAAACGTGGCTTGAAAATATTAAATGGAAAAATTCAGAAATAAATGGGCAAGTAAATTGCACATCATTCTGAGTATTGTGATGAAATCCTTCGCTGTCACTCATTGTCCCACTCAGGAAATGAATCATCCGTTTGTCCAGCATATTCCTGCTGTACATACCACCTGCCCGCTAGTCACTCAGTAGCTGTCTTGGTTATTAGATTGACTCTTGCGACTGTTGGCTATCACAGTGCTTGTGTTCTTGTAACCCTTATGTTACTTTTATTACAGTATATTGTTATAATTGTTTTATTTCATTATCAGTTATTGTCATTAATCTCTTACTGTGCCTAGTTTATAAATTAATCTTTTCATAGGTACATAAGGAAAAACGTAGTATATAGGTTTGGTACTATCCACCATTTAAGGCATCCACTGGGGGTCTTGGAACAAATCCCCTGCGGATAATAGGGGACTACTGTAATTTCTTCCATTTACTTGTCTGTATGTTTTTAAACTGTAGTTTCAGATGAAACCATACATGTGACTTTTGCATCCCTCATTTTTTCTTAATACGTAACATTTCTCTGTGTTATTAAAATTCTTTGTATTATTTTAGGTAGCTGCATAGTATTATGTCTTAGAGCCTATTATAATTGAAGTATTTTACTGTTAGAAACTTGACGAGGTTTCCAGTTTTTGGTTATACTATGATAACAGCATCTTTTTTTGCATGAATCATTTACCTTTAAGACTATTTCCTTAGGTTATATTTTTTAAAAATCTCATTATTTTACCTAAGGGAAAGTAAAGTCGTTTTATGGTTTTTAGATGCAAATTTCAGCAGTGCTTTATAGAAAAGATATCAATTCACAGTTTTACCAGGAGTGTATAAGTGAATCCATTTTGTCAAACCCTCACTATTGAGTACTACCCATTTGAAAATATTCCGTTTCTTTTTTCTTAATAGCATTTGTTCAGTGCTCAGCACAGGAGTCTGACCAGACAGAGTAGACGTCAAATATGCACCAGTAGTTTGATGGAACGTTTCTTACAAGATGTACTGCAGCACCATCCATATCATTGTCAAGAGAGCAGGTAAAGTAGCTGATTGGAATAATATTTATACGTAGTTGTATGTTACAGTAGGTGTTCGTGTTCATGTCCCAATCAATACTTTAAAGTGAATCTTTGAGTCAAGGAATATCAAGCGAAATTTTAGTAACCTTCATTTGCAATGTTAAATTTTTCTTAGCTTAAGTAAGAAATTTCACTACAGAAGATATGGACTACACTGTTTTTTTCCCTAAATAAAAGTCTTAGGCTAATAAATAATTAAATATCATTAAGATGTTTTATAAGTATGTTATAGGACTAAGCAGGGGGAAAAGGAGGAAGAAATAGTTTTTAAAAGGTTAGTAACAAAAGCTGGTGACGATAGCGGAGTAAGGACAATCAAGTCAAAACTGAGTCAATTCCACTAACAAAAATCTTTGCTAATTCTGAGTAAAAGGGATATCAAAAGAAATTGCCTTTTAAAATGATCTGACTGTATCTTGTTAGCTATTCTTGTATCAGTTTTAGTTGTTTTTAATAAAAATAATTATTTTGATGACATTTAGGAGTTAATGCCCCATGTTAAAGAAAAACATTGGTAGAAAATCAGATTAAATATTATAGTAACTTTGTAGCTCCAGCTGTACAAGATAAGGTAAAAATAGATTATTAGCACATCTCTGCAGAATTAGCTGAGAGGTACACCAGTTAGTAGAAAAAGGAATAAACTTCTCTGTTTGCAAATCACTAACATGTGCCTTAGAAATGGCAAAAATATTTTAATGGGGAATACTTACAGGAAAACAAGATGGTTTCTTAGGTGGTGGGAAGATATAATCCTATCCTGGGGTCAGCGTAAATTTCCAGTTTTTTTTTTTTTTTTTTTGAGATGGAGTCTTGCTTTGTCACCCAGGCTGGAATACAGTGGCGCGATCTCAGCTGACTACAACCTTCACCTCCCAGGTTCAAGCAATTCTTCCTGCCTCAGCCTCCCAAATAACTGGGATTACAGGCACCCGCCACTGCACCTGCCTAATTGCTTTTTGCATATTTACTAGAGACCAGGTTTCACCAGATACTCAAGAGTACGTAGTCCCAGATACTCGAGAAGCTGAAGCAGGTGGTGACTTGAGTCCAGGAGTTTGAGAGCTGTAATCACACCACTGAACTTACTACACCTGCCTAATTTTTTTTTTGTATATTTAGCAGAGACCGGGTTTTGTCAGCTGCTCGAGAGTATAGTCCCAGATACTCGAGAGACTGAAGCAGGAGGGTCACTTGAGTCCAGGAGTTTGAGACTACAGTGAGCTATAATCACACCACTGCACTCCAGCCTGGGCAACAGAGTGAGACCCACAAACAAACAAAAAACAGCTAAACTCTTGAACTAAAAAGAAAAACTCCTGAGCTAAAAAGAAAAAATATTTAAAAGAAATACTATCTATGAAATATGGCCAAAATAAAAATGTCATACTTTTAAATACTTCCATTAAGAAAAGAATTCATAAACACAATGGGGCACACAGTTTAAGATGAAAAAATAACAAAATTGCTCACATAAGAAGGTAGATGAAATATATTAAGAAAAGGAAAAAATTAAGATGAAACAAAAACAAAGCAAGAGCTAATTTTCAGGAAAGCTAAAACAATAGAAAACTTATAATGTCTAGACAAGGAAGGATGAGAAAGGAATTTTTTTTTTAAATCGTAAATCCTATAATTGAGAAAGCCTATACGTATACAATAAAATACTCCTGGCATGGGATTTTTAAAAGAGGAACCCAAGTGGTATTCAAAATGAGATACATGTCCACATATATACACAAATACGAGAACTTCAGTTATGACACAGGTGGGGACATTTTATATCAGCAGGGATAATTAGAGATACAAGAAGTACTTGTCAGGCACAGTGGCTCACACCTGTAATCCCAGCAACTTGGGAGGCCAAGGTGGGTGGATCACCTGAGGTCAGGGGTTCAAAACCAGCCTTACTAGCATGATGAAACCCCACCTCTACTGAAAATACAAAATTAGCTGGGTGTGGTGGCGCATGCCTGTAATCCCAGCTACTTGGGAGGCTGAGGCAGGAGAATCGCTTGAACCTGGGAGACGGAAGTTACAGTGAGCCTAGATCCTGCCATTACACTCCAGCCTGGGCAACAAGAGTGAAACTCCATCTTAAAAAAAAAGAAGAAGTCCTGCCTCATACCACATACTCCTGCCTCATACCACAAACTCCAAGGTGATTACAAATACTTTAAAGACAAAACAAAGGCATGAAGAAAAAGGTATAAAAGCAGCCATAAACAGAAATTCTCCTTACATCTGATTAAATAAAAAATTTTAATTTCTGTATGATAAAGAATAACATAAACATTTAAAAGACAACATAGGTTCTGAAAAAAAAACCTCTAACACATTTAAAATGCAAAGGACTATTAGTGGTACTCAAATATTGCTAACAAATCCAAAATATACAAATAACAATAGAAAAATGGGCAAAGTATATTAACAAACATGTCATAGAATAAAATATGGCCAATGAATATACAAAAAAGTTCTACCTGAAAATAGATTATACGGGATTATCAGCATGTATATCTACATGTTTTTGGCCTATTACGTTGGAAGGGAAAATATTAATGCCAGTGTTAGCAACAGTTACAGGAAATGAGCATTCTCTTTTGCTGCTGGTGTGAGTATAAATTGATATAGGCTTCTAGAAAGTGTCTAGCGAGGATTTCAAATGTCCATACACAATTTGATCAACAAAATAAATAATAAATAGTAACAAATTAAAACCCATAGAATAAAAGAAATATCCATGACTCTCCAATGATACAAATAAATATTAAATACTTGAATAAATAAATGAAAGAACAAGTATAGCTCTTCTTGTTTCTTTCTTTCTTTCTTTCTCTCTCTCTCTCTCTCTTTCTTTTTTTCTTTTTATTGTACTTTAGGTTCTTGGGTACAGAGCATACAGGATTGTTGCATAGGTACATACATGGCAGTGTGGTTTGCTGCCTCCATTCCCCCATCACCTACATCTGGGATTTCTCCTTATGTTATCCCTGCCTGACATCTCCAACCCACCCTCCACTGTCCCTCCCTTGGTCCCCCCAACAGACCCCAGTGTATGATGCTCCCCTCCCTTTGTCCATGTGTTCTCATTGTTCAACACCCGCCTATGAGTGAGAACATAAGGTGTTTGATTTTCTGTTCTTGTGTCAGTTTGCTGAGAATGATGGTTTTCAGATTCATCCATGTCCCTACAGAGGACACGAACTCATCATTTTTTATGGCTGCATAGTATTCCATGGTGTATATGTGCCACATTTTCCTTGTCCAGTCTATCTTTGATAGGCGTTTGGGTTGGTTCCAGGTCTTTGCTATTGTAAACGGTGCTGCTGTGAATGTATGTGTGCATGTGTCTTTATAATAGAATGATTTATAATCCTTTGGGTATATACCCAGTAATGGGATTGCTGGGTCAAATGGAATTTCTATTTCTATGTCCTTGAGGAAGCGCCACACTGTCTTCCACAATGGTTGAACTAATTTACACTCCCACCAACAGTGTAAAAGTGTTCCTATTTCTCCACATCCTCTCCAGCCTCTGTTCGTGTCCAGATTTTGTAATGAACACTGTTCTAACTGGCGTGAGGTGGTATCTCAATGTGGTTTTGATTTGCATTTCCCTAAAAATCAGTGATGATGAACATTTTTTCATATGTTTGTTGGCCTCATGTATGTCTTCTTTTGGAAAGTATCTGTTCATATCCTTTTCCACTTTTGGCTAGGTTTGTGTGTTTTTTCTTGTAAATCTGTTTTAGTTCTTTGTAGATTATGGATATTAGCCCTTTGTCAGATGGGTAGCTTGCAAAATTTTTTTCCAATTCTATTGGTTGCTGGTTCACTCTAATGATTGTTTCTTTTGCTGTACAGAAGCTCTGGGGTTTAATTAGGTCCCATTTGTCTATTTTGGCTTTTGTTGCCAATGCTTTTGCTGTTTTAGTCATGAAGCTGTTGCCTGTGCCTGTGTCCTGAATGGTTTTGCCTAGGTTTTCTTCCAGGGTTTTTATGGTGTTAGGTCTTACGTTTAAGTCCTTAATCCCTCTGTAGTTAATTTTAGTGTAAGGTGTCAGGAAGGGGTCCAGTTTCTGCTTTCTGCACACTGCTAGCCAATTTTTCCAGCACTGTTTATTAAACAGGGAATCCTTTCCCCATTGCTTATTTTTGTCAGGTTTGTCAAAGATCAGATGGTTGTAGATGTGTGGCGTTGCCTCCAAGGCCTCTGTTTTGTTCCATTGGTCTATATCTCTTTTGGTACCAGTACCATGCCATTTTGATTACTGTAGCTTTGTAGTATAGTTTGACATCAGGTAGCGTGATGCCTCTGGCTTTGTTCTTTTTGCTTAGGATTGTCTTAGCTATGCAGGCTCTCATTTGGTTTCATATGAAGTTTACGGTGGTTTTTACCAGTTGTGAAGAAGGTAATTGGTAGCTTGAGGGGGATAGCATTGAATCCGTAGATTACTTTGGGCAGTATGGCCATTTTCACGATATTGATTTTTCCTAACCATAAGCATAGGAATGTTTTTACATTTGTTTGTGTCTTCTCTTATTTCCTTGAGCAGTGGTTTATGGTTCTCCTTGAATAGGTCCTTTACATCCTTTGTTAGTTATATTCCTAGGTATTTTATTCTCTTAGTAGCAATTGTGAATGGGAGTTTGCTCATGATTTGGCTCTCTGTTAGTCTGTTATTGGTGTATAGAAATGCTTGTGATTTCTGCACATTGATTTTTTATCCTGAGACTTTGCTGAAGTTGCTTGTCAGTTTAAGAAGATTTTGGGCTGAGATGATAGGGTCTTCTAAATACACAATCATGTCATCTGCAAATAGAGACAATTTGACTTCCTCTTTTCCTTATTGAATACCCCTTTACTTTTTTTTCTTGCCTAATTGCTCTGGCCGGAACTTCCAATACTATATTGAATAGGAGTGGTAACAGAGGGCATCCTTGTCTAGTGCCAG